TTAAGAGGAAAACTTTGTTCCTCCATGTGAGAACAGTTCTGGGGGCAGATTCTGACGGAGCTGCTAGTGATTAAACCTTGTTGTTCACAGGCGGGCACACTCCAGACCAGAGCGGTGGAGAAGACAGGGGAAAATGCTTCCAAGCTCTAGGAGGATCTCGGTGAAGTTTTCCCATCTTGCTGTGGCCTCCAGAAGTGAGGGTGGCCTGTCGGAGATCAGGGGGCCAAGGGAAGGGCTCTCCAGAGGGGTGGGGACGGGCTGGGGAGAGCACTTGCCTAACAAAGCCCTGGGTTCCATCCATAGTATCAGAGAGAGAGAGAGAGAGAGAGAGATCTGGAGAGGGTCAGTGGCTCTGAGTGAACAAACAGAACCTAAAAAATAAATGCTAAGCAACTTGAAGAGCGAGCCCAGAATGCCAGAATGCTAGGCTGGGAGAGGGTGATGATACCAGTGTGGAGCATGTGGCTTCCTGATGCCTGCTGCAGGCAGGCAGCAGTGGCCTCCATCTCTAGGCATCTCATCTGCATAGATCTGTCCCACCTGCTCACAGCTGGGCATCCCTGGGCTATTGATTTTTTGAGATCACCCCACTATTGTTGTTTTTTTAAGCTAAATTTATTTTACAAAGACAACATCACATGTGAAACACTAGTATATTACTATTCTATATTGATAAAAACCACATTATAAACATGGCACATTCACACCGGTATTCGGCTCAAAGTTGTCTCCATAACCACTGGGTCATGCATATTGTCCCATTCTGGGGAAGGGTGACATCCGTAAAAAGCCAGTCAGTCACGGTTCAATGACGAGTTGCAAGAAGAGAGCTGATGCACACCACAGAGGTCTCATTTATAAAGAAGCAAAACCAAACGTTTTAGATCTTCAAGATTAAGAATGTTCTGGAAGGTAGTACATCATGGATTGCTAACTATCGCCCAAAATACCATGTCAGAACTTTGTATGCTTCTCTAGCACCGTCCTCCTCAGGTGTGATTGTGCATCGCTGTCTCCCCACTCCTCTGCAAGGTCTTCTGAGGCATTTGCGTGCCTCTCCATCACCCAGCACTGCCCAACGAAGAGCAGAGTCTAATATGGTTCTTTGCAAGAACAAATGTGCACAACATGTATTTTTGCTACAAAGATCATCTCTTAGCATTTGTCTTATGCAAACAATTTGACAAATTCTAGTTGGATATAAAAACATAATTTTGAGCAAAACTTTTTTTTTTTTAAGAGATAAACAAAAGCTCAGCTTCCCTTGCATATTCAGGACTTCCAGTTGCCACTTAGGGCCCAGGTAGGTAAACTGTGTGAACAGTTCCTTGAAGCTGAATGGACACCTCACTATGGTTGAGTATTGGAATCATGTGGAGCTTCTTAGACATTCTGAGGCCTGAGCCCTGGTCCCGGATCCCATTCTGACTCTGCAATGACATCTGAGATCAGGGCATGAAGGCCCTTGGTTCAAGAGTAAAGCATTTATCATATCAAAAGAGATGTGAAGACACATTCTTGGAAAGTGAATGAAAATCTTACTATTATAAGAGCTCAATTTATTGGAAAAAAAATTGACTTCTTTTTTAATGGGACACATTCAAAATGAGGTTGTATCAAACTATTTTATTATTCCCAGAGGTTAGAACTGTGAATGGTTCCTCAAAATAATGGGAACCAGAATACGCCCAAAGAGCTTTTGCTAAAATATTGTAGGCTGAGCATGGTGAGGTGTTTGGTAATAGGGATTAAAGAAAACAAAAGAAATTTTCTATAAAAACCCCTCAGTCCCAGGGAGCTGAGCTGAGTAAGGAGAGGTCCCCCAGTATCAAGGCCACCCTGCAGTGGGAGCCTTGGCACCCGGGGATCCCAGCCTCCCTGAGTTAGGCAAGTGGGCATCCCTAGCAACCCCTAGGGGCAGACAGGGGCTTGGTGCTCCGTGGAGGCACAGTTAAGGCCTGCCCTGGCACCTAGTGACTGGGGGGCCATGAGAAAGCACTCTGAGCTGCCCCCCTCATCAACATAACCGTTCCTCAAAAACTCAACTTTCAATTTATTATTTTAAATATTTATTTTTTAGTTGTAGTTGTCAATACTTTTATTTTATTTATTTATTTTTATGTGGTGCTGAGGATCGAACCCAGGGCCTTGCACGTGCTAGGCAAGCGCTCTACACAACCCCAGCCCCAACTTTCAATTTCTTGAAAAATAATATTCAACTTCTTCATCATAATCATAGAGCATTTGGGGAGTTATCTGTTTAAATTTGTTTTCCTCCCATTTACAAGAATACTCACAGATTGGACGGGATAAAAGTGGGTGTTTCTTTATCTCCACAGAAACTAGGTCTAAACAGCATTAAAAAAAATAAAAATAAAAGCCAAAACAGGCCGCAATGATTCACTAATCACCTAATTAAGTTTTAACAACACACACTCTGGCATTTCTTTTTGTTCTCTTTGGTCCTGCTATTCATAAAAGGCAGGTGGAGACGGGGTTTTATTGTTGGGAGGGACCTCAGAAGGATCTCCATTCAACCCGCCCAAGTCTGACTTCCCGGGAGCAGCCTGCCCATCCCCTGCGCTGACTCACACATTGTTTTCCTTGTCCAGTCGGCCTGGTAGGAGGCAGCCCCGGTTGACCTCTCTCTTTGAACTGCCACCATCTCTGGCTTTCATAGGGACCTCCTTTTGCCTCCCTCAGAAGAGGGAGGGAGAAAGACGTGACACGGGGACACTGCCAAGGAAAGCCACCACCAGAAGAAAGAGTGGACCCAGGTAACAAGCCTCACCTGAGCCTGGGAGGGCCCTGAACAACTGGTGTGATGTAGGTGTATCCTGGCAGAAAAGCTCCCCACACCCCTAAAAAGCCAGGAATAATGCTGGGAAAGCTGGGCGGGGTTTGTATGCTAATGAGGTGGCTGGTGGCTGAAGGTCCCTGGGTGAGGCAGGTCACTGGAAAGATGAAGGCATGATCACAGGGCTGGCCCTTGGAGCCCCACCTCAACCACTGGGGAGGGGAAGGGGCTACGTTGAGTTGGTCACCAGTGGCCGGTGCTTTACTCAGCCATGGCTGCACAAAGAAGCTTCCCAAAACCCCAGAGGGATCGGGTTCAGAGGACTTCCAGAGAGCTGAACATGGGACGTTTCTGGAGATGGTGAGCCCCAAGAGGGCCGAGAAGCTCCCTCCTTCCTCCATGCCCTGTGCATCTCTTCCGTCTGGCCCTTCATCCGTAGACTTTGTTAACATCCTCTAGGATGAAGGGCCAATGCAAGTCAGGTGCTTTCCTGAGCTCTATGAGCCACTCCAGCAAATTAACTGAACCCAAGGCGGGGGTTGTGGGAACCCTGATTTATAGCCAATTGGTCGGCACTGGCTGCAACATGGGACTTACAGTTGACATCTACAGTGGAGGGATGGAGCCCTCTACCTGTGGGATCTGATGCCACCACCAGGTAGGCAGTGTCAGAATTGAAGTGCACCTCGGGATACCAGCTGGTGTCCACTGGAGACTCAGCTGCAGAGTTGGTAATTGGTGGGAGGCAATCCCACACATTTTGGCAACCCAAGATGACATATTCTGTTGATTGTCAAGTGAGAGAATGGAAAAAACACTGGGCTTAATTTTTTTCCTGTCTCCAGAACAACCACTTGGGATGTAATGAGCACCAATTATCTCTGACCGGTCGAACCCCAGACCTCAGGGAAGAAAGCTTAGAGCAGGTACCGGGGAAGATACGGTTTTCTACATGGTCAAGTGAGTCTCTCACATCCATTTCTAAGAAAGGGAGAGTGGGTAGAAGAAGGGACAGTCAAAGCTAATTCCATGTAGATTTCATGATGACTGAAGACAGTTTCTCCTTGTACTTTCAGAGACGTCTTATAATTTTTTCACTTCCTCATGAAATCTATTTTTTCCAACGCCTATTTTCCAAGTAAAAATTCTTGAAAACAACCAAGGGATTGTGCTTATTTTTCACAGAAAGCGAGCACAAGGAGGACAGGCCACTGGCTGGTAGACAGTCTCTTTTGCAGCTGAGGCTAAGAGATAGAGAGAAAAACCAGGGGGCGGGGAGGGGAGGGCAGGCAAGGTGAGCTGGCTGGTCACTGAGACTTGGGCAGAAGAGAGAGAGCCAAGAGCACCCCCAGGAAGAATAAGCGGGTGGTGGGACTGGTGGAAGATGCCACTGTTCTTCCTCAAGATGGACAGTGCATGGATGGAAGAAATGTTATCTGATGCAGAGAGACTCAAAGAGCTGCTGGCTCAGGGTTCTGCCCAAATTCAGACAGTAGGTCCCTCCCCCTGCAGAGAGGCCGTGGACCCTGGTCTAAAAGATCCCCAACTCCTCTACTGGCCCCTTGTCAAAGGCAGTAATTCACTGGAAGATGTTTGTAAGGTGGAAGTCGGGCTCTGCGCTTCCGTGTTTAAGGCACTACTCTTTCTGGGGTGCTAACTGCTAATGCACCCGCCCTCCTACCTCCTCCTCTGCTGGTTTGATGAACAGATCTCCCCTTTGGGCAGGAACGGAACCTGTCTCACTCTCCCACTCCCACCTCCATGATGTTGGAAGGCTCTTGTGAGTGTCCAGCTTTCAAGACAGGAAAGTTGAGATCTCAGCCCAGGCCACCAGTATGCGACTCAGTAAGCCAAGTCTCTGAAGCCAGCAGCTCTGCCACCTCTGCACAAAAAGCAGGGCAGGCTCTGCCACAGAGGGAAGCAGCAGGTGTGGGCAGACAAGGTGTGGGCCTCGTCACTGCGGGAGTCCTGGAACCAGCAACTATCCCATATAGATTCTGCTGGGAGATCACAGCCAATGGTGTGGCCCAGGTGAACACAGCCACACCCATTAATCAATTAACAGATCATAGAGACTTTCAAGGGTCCAGTCCAGGAGGGTAAAGTCTGTGTTTGATTGATCCCTGTCATCCCATAGGTCCTGGTATACAGCAAGTGCTCAGTCAACATCTCTTGACTTAGTCAATGAGACTGATACACTAGACATAAATTTAGTGGGCACCACAAGCCATTGAGTTTATCTGTGTGTACTCTGTTTTGGCTTTTGTAGTAATCATATTTCCTAGTTTCTGTATTTGATGCTTTGACATCTGGGTCCTTGCTGACCCTGAGAGTTGTTAGAGACAATAAAGGACTCACCCATGAGCAGACATTTCAGATGCAAACCAACCAGTCCAGAGCCCAACCTCAACCTTCATTTGAGGTCTTACCCTCCAGGCCACTATCCACCTGCCACAATCACCCCACAGCCAGGTGCCATACAACGAGGGTCTCTATGTCCCAAAGCCCACTGGAATTATTCACACTAGTCAATGCTGAGCTACCTGACTGCCTCCTCCGGTCACACAGAAACCACAACAAAGGCTCCCAGCCTCCCCTGCTGGATTCCTCTGCCTCCTGACCAGCCCTGGTGCTGCCCATGTGACCTCATGGAGTGGTGTGAACGGTGAGTAACAAGTCGCCTTGTCAGTGGCAGTCATCTCCTGCTTTGTTGGGCTCACCACGTTGGATAACAATAAGCTCTGCATTTTACAACAGATTTGGAGCCTGCTACCGGGTGACACTCAGGGTAATAGCTGTCAGTTCCCCACCACTGGCTCTGGGCCAAACATTAGATACTTTAAATGTAAACACAACGACAGTCGCAGAGATGGTGTTATCGCTCTGCTTCTGCAGATGAGAAAACTGAGCTCAGAGGTTAGGTGACTTGCCCAAAGCAAGTGGCAGAGCTGGGAGGGTTTAGCCCTGAAGAAAGGGGGAAACGTGAGACCTGGAGAAGGGATGATGGTGTGGCAGTGGGAGTCAGGGCAAGGAACCTGGAAAGACAGCTGGTTTATTCTTGTGTGTGTGTGTGTGTGTGCTGCTGGGGATTGAACCCAGGACCTTGAGCATGCAAGGTAAGCACTCTACCAACTGAGCTGCATCCCCAGCCTGGTTCATTCTTGCAGCACTCATTACTTGAGCTTTCTTGAGAGAAGGGTAGCAGTTGGGACAGCTGAGCCCAGGCTCCACCTCCACTGCCCAGATCAGCCATGAGACAGGAACTCTCGGTCCTTCGGGCTGCCAGTCTCAAGCCCATGGACTCCCCAATTCTGGAGGGAATGCTACTTTGGGCACCCCCAGGTGAGCGCTCCATGGCTGCTGGCTTGACCTATACTGGTTACCCCCAGACAGGGGTCAAGAGATTAGAAATGCCTTCCTCTCCATCACTTATTTACCCCTGTATCCAGGGGCTATTCTGTTTCTGAGTTTCCTTTGGGACTAGAGATGTTCTCTTCCCCAAAACAGGACTTACATCAGCTACAGATAAGACTTGGGAGCTTTGAAAACTCATCTAGAAACAGCAGCATGAACAACCATTTTTATATTCCTGACCACAAAGCGCACCTCCTTTACTAGAGACAGTCGAAGAAGGGCAAGGAAAGGGCCCAAGGAAAGGAAGGCCAGCCTCTGAGACTCCATGGGCATCCAGAGGTCAGCACACTCTTCTCACAACCAATGGCTGACCAGACAAGGACTCTCCAGCCTTCCGCCCATCGACTGCCTTCTGGGATCCTTAATACAATCCTACAAACTGAAGACACTCTCCTTGAGCACCCTGGAAACGCTTCAAATCCTTATGAGGTCACATTTACATTTTATCACACACCCTTAAATCTGGGCTGGGGGGTCCTGGTAACTTTGGCGGGACTATGGTATTCTTCCCTACATTTGGCAGGGTATACGGAGACTCCAACAGGACTGGGGAACCTAGATGCCAGGGAAAAAAACATGGGCCAGGGGACCAAGGTCAAGCTCACTTAAGGACGAATTGCATCATCCCTTTCAAACAGAGAATTGTAGGCCATCAACAGGAGGGAGAGCAGGGGTAAACCTAGGTGTCACCTGCAAATCGGGAGGCCTGACAGTCATCAGGCAAGTTGTCCTCAGTTCCCCCACCCTCAGTAGGTCACTCCCCTCCCCAACTGAGTGCTGCCCCCTTCTGGACTCTGGTATGTCCTACCTTGGCAGTCCCTCCTCCACCAGTGAGATTCCCTGTGCAGGCCAAGGCCACCTTGGGTGAATGTAGGGTCAGGAGGGAAGGCCAGGAACAAGCCCCTTCTCTCCTCACAGGCAAGGCCTCCGCCCACTGTGACCCCCTGGGTATCTTGACTTGAACGGAATCTCCTGAAGCACCATGGTCCTGAGGCACCCTGGCCCCAGGCAGCTCTAGACCTAGGCTGTAGTGTCACCCAGGTACCACGTCTGCAGGATGAGGCTGGGCCAGCCCAGGCTGCCAGGCCCCCTTCACAGATATGTTTATATCTCAAAGACCTTCAGTGGAATCATCCCACATGGTCATAAGACTCCAGAAGACCCTGGAGGGTGGGGTGGGGAGGGAGGGGAGAGCATCTTCCCACCTGAAGTCAGCATCCAGGCTTTCTTCAGAAGCCACCCAGGGCCCTATCGTGGTGTTCGTGATCAAAAACACTCGAATTTCTCTTTCCTGGAGCAGCCCCTCATGGATAATTCATCCCATCTGCTCCCTGCTCTCGCCATTTATTCCCACGGCTATGCTCCAGCCTCGTCTTGGCCCCAAAGGGCTCCACCTCAACCCTGAGTAGCAGGACTCTGCTCTCTGGCCACCACGGAGACTCTCCAGCTCCCACAGCCTCTCCCCACCCTCTGGCTCTGAGCACCCTGAGCACAGCTCCTGCCTATGTTGTGCTCAGTCGAGGGGGGCCCCTGCACTGTCATTTCTAATGGACCCCTGCCACCCTTCCCTCGGTCTTCTTCAGTCTCTCTGGGCCTCCACCAGTCTCCACTGGCCTCCCCTAGCCTCCACGGGCCTCCTCACCTCCCTAAGAGTCAAAATGAGCTGGTCTCCTAGTGCTCCAGGACAAGGCCACCCTTACCCTGACCCACACACCACTGTGGCAGGGCAGGGGAGGGGTGGCTCGGGACCTTGGGTGGTCATGGCCAGACTCCTCCCCTGCAGACCTTCCAGCTCCACCATCAGTTTCTGCCCTGAGATAACCAGCAGGACCCCCGCCCTCACTGGGTCTTCAGCCCCACTGTCTTAGACGGGGCTGCTGAGACCACATGCTATAGAGTAGGTGACTTGGAAACCCCTGGGATTGACTTCTCACAGCTCTGGAGGCCGGAGATCAGGGTGAGGTTCTGGAGAGACTCCTGCAGGCCACACTGCAGCCTCTCACTGGGTCCACACATGGTAAAAAGAGAGCCAGGGGGCTCTCTGGGGGCTCTTTCACCAAGGACCTAATCCCACTCCCAAGGGCCCCACCCTCATGACCTCACCACCTCCCAGAGGGCCCACCTCCTCACCATCACTTTGCAGATGAGGAGTTCAATGAGTGAATTTCGAGGGGACACAGCCCTTGAATCCATTGCACACACAGGAACCCACCACTCCCAGAAGCCCCTCACCCCCCATCATCACCAACAGCTCTGCTCCTCCTCCTGTGGCCCCAGCTTCCTGGCCGGCTTCTCACATCTTCCCACGGTGGCCCTTGGACTTCCCAGCCAGGCACCCATGGAATCGCACATCCCCTCAGTCTCTGCTCTGGGCTCCTGTTACTCTTCCTCTGAACGAAACCCTGCCCTTCTCTGTGCTCCCCTCGCCTCCGCCACAACCAGGTGAGCACTTTTCCTTCCTGAGCGCCACATATAACCGACCCGAGTGTGGTAGGAATTGCTCTTCACTCTGTCACTACTTCCAGAACGTTCTCTCTCCTTCCTTCCTCGTCACAAGACTGCACACTTCTCATTACTAAGAGTGGCCTTGTCCTCCCTCTCAGGGTCTCTGTCACCACCCTTGCTCAGTCTCCAGTTAAACTCTTCTTGCTCCCAATCCACCTCCCCATGCCTTAGCCATTCACCGTGAGCCCTGGAAACGGGCTGGCCCCACAGACGCAGGCTCAACATGCACAAGAAAATGCTATGACGCAGCATGAAAGCCCTTGCTAGGTGCCATCCCTGGACTTCCATGCCCTTGGACTTCCCAACCTCCAGGACTTCTTCACCCAGTTTGGGGTATAATGTTGTCACAACAGAAAACGAACTAAGACCCTGATCGTAGCTGGACAATAGGAGACCATGCACCACACCAGCCGGGCTGACTTCAACTCCATGCGCAAGAGGGTCCTCGCAGCTGTCCCCTCTGCTCCCCCTCTCCTGGACACTGCTTCCCAGGGGTGCCTCCTCCTGCGTCTCGGTGTCTACTTGACTGAGAGTACAGAAGCAACGAGGAGGGGCCCCTCCTCAGCTGAGCTCTGTGCCACTTCCCTCGACCGCCTGGAAAGCTCTTCTCTGCCCCTTCGCCAGCACATCCTGCTGGTCCTTCCAGCTTCCTCCACTGTCTATCTCATGGAGGCCTAGCCTCCTCCCCAGACACACGGTCCCCCCAGCTGCACTCCAGGGTGCAGGACTTCCATTAGGGTATCTGTCACGTCACAAGCCAGGTCCCTTCACCTGCCTGTGTCACTGGGGGATGCTAAGCCCCCTGAGGGCAGGAAGCAACCTTTCTTTTCTGCCTCCCGGCAGCACATGACACCCGCGTGTGGGATGAACCACGTCTCAGTTTCTTTTCTTCCTTTTAAACTCTCCTCTCAACCTTCCTTCATCTGGGTCCTTATGGATTCGGTGACGTGTTCATTCAATCAAGAATCTAAGGCACCTGCCATGTGGGAGTCACAATGCTAGATCCTGGGGACATTAAGATGAATCAAAGGCAGTCAGTACTTGCCATCAAGGAGTCAGAGGGGAACCAAGATGCACCTAGTAGTAGCAAATCTGTGAATGTGGGTATTATGGGATGGGGGAGGCCACAGGCCCAGGAAAGAGGCAGTGAGAAGGCAGGAGGGGATCAGCCATGCTGCTCATTATCTGAAGCCTGGGGTCAACACAGACACCTGGGAACGAGGTCGGAACAAAGCTCACTGTTCTAGGGACCAGGAACAGAGACTATGGAGGAACAGGGGCCCCATGGGCAGGCCCTGGAGTAAAAGGAAACAGGCTGAAGGGAGATCTTCCATGGACAAAGGGCCACATGTATTCCACGTTGGAAGGACTTGCTGTCGAATGATCCATGTCATCCTCACAATAAGCCAGAGTTGGTGCGTTGACAGCCTGATCTATAGAGTGGGGAAGCCGAGGCTGGGAGCTTCATTGAGGCTTCACAGCTTGCCAGAGCCTAGCCCAGCTGTCCAGCTCCAAGGACTGGGCTTTTTGCTCCCATGCAATATCATCCACAATGGAGACAGCAAGACTGATAGCAGTCAGGTGCCTGAGGCCAGTGAGGCTGCCTGGGGTCTGCACCAAGGACGCAGCACCACACTGAAATCCTTCCCACTGGGTCACCTGTCAGTAGCCTTGCACCTGAGCCAACTTTGTGTGGGTCTGCAGAGGGAGGGAGGAGAAGGAGCAGGACATAGTGAAATGATAGACATCGGGAGCTTGTCTTGGGCCACCTGGCATCCCTGACTACATAGCCAGTGGGTGACACCCGCAGGGACCCTGGAAACATTCTGTTGAAAAAATGAAGGATGGAGAAATGAATGAATGAACAAGCAAGGGAATGGAGGGCGGGAAGCATGAGGGCGAGACTAGGGCAGAAATGGTGATGTGATAAAGAATAACCACGATCCCAAACCACCTCCCCTCTTCCCAGGCATCTAACGCCCACCTGCGGCCCACTTGGGTGTCCTCCAAGATTGCCCACTCCAGAGCACACCAAGCTAACGGGAGCGAGGTAGGAACAAAGCTCACACCAGCCCCGCTGCCCCCACACCACATGGGGGACAGTGTAGGTTAGGGGCTCGAGGTCCAGGCAAAGGCAGAGAGGAGAGGCTCCTGCCTGTGTCCATCTATGGGAAGGCGGCCCTTGGGAGATTTATGATCCTCTCCTCTTCCCTGACACCTCTGGGAGACCCCAGCCTCCACGTGGGGACAATGAGACCCAACCTTCAGCCTTTCAGGGAGCAGACCTTGAGAAGGACCCTCATAGCAAATGACCTCCAGTCAGAGAAAAGACCCACACCATGGAGCCCTCTGGACCCAGAGTATTTCCTACAGAACCTCCTCGTTATGGTTTGGATATGAGGTGTCCCCCAAAGGCTGCCATTAATGCTGGAATATTCAGAGATGGAATGATTAGATTATGAGAGCTCTAACCCAATTAGTCCATCGTCGTTTGAATGGACTGATGGGGTGATAACTGTAGGCAGGAGGGTATGGCTGGAAGAGGTGGGTCACTGGGAGTGACTGTCCCTGAAAGGGTGCCTCCTCCTGTGGCTCCTGCTTTCTGGCTGGCATGAGGGAGCAGCTTCCTTCCAGTGGGCCCTTCTGCCATGATGTTCTGCCTCATGTAACACCCAGAGCAATAGTCAGCTGTCTATGGACCGAGTCTCTGAAAACACGAACCCCCCGTAAACTTGCCTCCTTTAAGTTGTTGTCCAGTACTTTAGTCACAATGACACAAAAGCTAATTAAAATACTAGTATTTATTGGGAAAAGGACAAAAGCATGTGCTTAATTTCCTGAGCAACAAGTCCTCGTGGGAAGCCGGGCTCTTCTCTCCT